TATCTTGAACTCGCGCCCTCTTTCTCCACTTTCCTCTGAACCCAATGACCTAGTTCCTTTGACCCCGGCTCACTTCCTTATCGGAAGACCACTAACTGCCGCCCCAGATGAAAACTTGGAAGATATCAAGCTCAATCGATTGACAAGGTTCCAGCTAGTTCAAAGACTTTGTCAACATTTTTGGCGACGTTGGCAGCAAGACTACATATCCGAATTGCAACACAAACAGAAGTGGAAGGTTAGCCGAGGCCAGTTGTCTGAGGGTACATTAGTTCTCATTCGGGATGACCAAGCACTCCCTACTGATTGGAAACTTGGACGCATCACTCAATTGCACCCAGGTTCTGATGGCGTAGCTCGCATCGCTTCCATTTTAACAAGCACTGGGCCCATCAAAAGAAACTTCCAGAAGATTTGTCCCCTTCCATTGGAAATTTGAAAGTACAGTCCTTTCAAGGCCGGGGCATGTTTCGGCCACTCAAACCTTTTTGTGTTTATTCCTACGTCATCAATGTTCCGTATCGAAGCTTGGCAGCATTGTGCTGTGACTTGTGAGCCCGGCTTAAAGCACGAAGGAGAGAGAAAAAAATACACAGCTGGACAAGTCAGCTGGAACGCAGAGAAACAGCACCGCCGTACAAGAAACAAGCAGCTTTTATAAAAAATCATTTTTTCATCTAAAAATCAAATAGTAAATGTCAATAAACCAAGTATTCATCATCACCATTTGCTAGTCCATTATTTCAAGATCAACCAAAAAGAAATACAGTCCAAAACAACCAATAAGAATCGTTCACAATGGCTCTCTCGCTTTACTTGTGTCAGTATTTGGGCCACAAGGACTGTGACTTGAATCCCGGTTACTTACACTGATAATTAAAACTATATTTTGTTGGTGGAAATAGTGATTATCCTAACAAGTGCAGAAAGTTAAACTTTCCCGCACGCGACTGCCGTTGACCCGAACGACGCGGAGCGGAGTTTGGGCAAGCAGTCCAGGGCGGTAAAGATACTTTATGCATGTGTTAGGATCAATTTTTTTTCTACGACCTTAGGAAAGTAGGGCACAGAGAAAATATGCCGTTGTTTATTAAACATATTGTACACATTAAAATAAGTCGTCGGGGACAGGTGAAGTCACTGGAGATGAGCGTTCTAATCTCAGCTCTGGTACTTTTGCGAATGACTGCTTGACGATGGAGATTTTGCGTCAATTGTCAGAATTTGTTTATGTTAAAAGTTACTTTTCCGAACCGAGTGGCACTTTCTGAACTAAAATGAGTGCAGGAAAGTGGGCAAAATCGCACGGTCGTAGAAAAAAAAGGTTTCCTTTATAAAACTATTTTTATTATTATCGAGAAGGTCACTTTTTTAGGTCTGTGAGGTAACTTTGATGTTTTCAGAGTCAAGATGGAAATCTGAAAAACTACCTTCAATATTCATTCCTTCAAGGAAGGCAGCCAAACAGGATGCTTCTAAAATTATCTACTGAAAGTATATGACAGATTTTATATCAAAGCAATTTTTGATGGTATAGTGGCCATTTCCACCAAACTATAACTAAGCTTTGATTAACTATGAAGCCCTTAAAAGTTAAGGGACACTAAAATATAATTTCGTTCCACCAGAGTTTTCGAGTGCAAGCTTAGCTAAGTGTCGTAAAGCTTTGGCAACATTGCATTTTTAGAAAAAAATTGGGTACTTTTCGTTTTTACGCTAGTCGTGTCAATGTTATCTGTTATTCGACATTTCCCGATAATTTTTAGAAGATTAAAGATTATAATAAATATCACTAATAGTTGTTGCTGCTATGCGGATTCGGCTTATTTCATAGAGAAGAGGTTTAGATATTCGTAGTTTATCTTGCATTCTGCATTATATGTGAACGAACACGAAGGTGCCTAAAGCAGCATGGAGTCGGCGAATTAGAAAGAAACATTCAGAGTTTATTTTAAAAAAGCCGGACACAAAACTACACAAGGAAAAAGAGCTGCTAATATCCCTAACATGAAGAAGTAAAAACAACCGATAATAAAAAAACAGACGGAGTATGTGTGACCGAAAAAAAAATGGGGTTTGGGAGAAAATTGGCTTGAAATTTCATTCTGCGGCTGCTAATTTATGTTATGGCACAATCTGAACGTTGTTAGCGCATGCGCACATCTCTACTTAACTATAAGTGTCCCTTAAGCTGAGAATTTTGATGGTTCAGTTAAGTGATCCTATTCCTATTAAAAGCGTCCGAATTGGCCCACCCTGTACAATAAATGTTTAATAAGAAAAAAAAGTAATATTTTCTTTGTGCCCCACTTTGCTAAGGTCTTAGAAAAAAATTTGATCCTAACTCATGCATAAAGTACCTTTCCCGCCCTTGACTGCTTGCCCGAACTCCGCTCCGCGTCGTTTAGGACAACGGCAGACGGCAGTCGCGTGCGGAAAGTATATCTTCCTGCACTCGTTAGGATAATAACTATTTTAAGGCTTTATACAATTTTGTCATGAAACAGTAGCGTATCTTTCATCAAATTATTTGGTTAATCATTTATTTATCAATTAACTCACGTTATTATTCCATGGTCAAGTTATTTTAAATGCTGTACTTGTTTCCACACCACACATGGGGTAAAGTACACGGCACGTTTTTTTACGTTGGTTTCCCTGTAGGACTAATCCACTTTGTAAAAAAAATTACGTTTTGTATCTGCAAAAGCTCGATGGACATGGTTCGTTAATTTCGATTATTTCGCGTAATTCACCGTTATCATAAAAAATCAACTATCATATCAATATCAACTCCCTTCTGCTCTGAAAAAGTTCAAGCCGAAGTCGCGTAGAAATCGCCCGCCGCATATCGGTTTGAATTTAACTGACGTACCCGTTGTCGTTGTTGATTTTTAGAAATACAGAGACAGAGTAGTGAATTTGTAAAAAAAGCCACATCCTCACATCATTTGAAAATCTCGACCTCCGCCTCCCTCGCTTTTACTTTATTTTTATTTTTATACACCCTATAGATGTCCGAAAACGGAAAGGTAAAAAAAAGGAAGTTATGTAAAACTGGTACAGAATAATGAGCGATCGCGAGGAAAACGACAATTATCAGAAGCTGCAGCATCCAGCCAACAACTGACTACTGACTTCATTTTTTTAATACTAAAACAAATAGGTACAAATCTGTCAACCGAGGGAAGTTTCGAGGATGCTTCTGCATGTTCTACTTCTACAGAGATTCTAGAAACAGAAGAACGATCCCCGACTGCAAAAAATGTCCCACTGTTAAAAGCAGTATCAAGCAGTAGTAATGCCGGGTCCAGATCAAGCAGACAAAAAGTAATCACTATTTTGAGACAAAAACACGACTTGGGTATTGAGACGAGACAAAAATGTGCAAAGAGATTTAGTTGTTGGTTGATGCGAATCAGTTGGTTAACCATGTGGCGTTTCCAATGTGGGGCAAATGAAACGGGAACATTTTTGGGTGAGACCAAGTTTAAAAAAGCAAAAAAGTTATTCCATAATAAATAAACTGTTACCTACCCAGTTCAGTTACATTAGGATGATATTCGAATAAGTGGTGAGATTCGCTCAAGCTTTAAGATTTTTTTAAGAATTTCCACCGAAGCTATCGAGAATCTAATATGCCTTGTTAGTACTGCAGTTGCCAGACATACTAATTTCAGAAATGCTATAAGTGTAACAGAAAGGTTAGCAATCACTGATGACACTGGTCTCCCACTTTTGTCAGCACACCCGTCCACTCTGCGCCGACAACTTGTAAAATAAACAGAAAAAACAAAGTCTCTTCGATCTTTACCGACTCACGACGGGACTTCCAAAAGTCTTGGAGTTTGGAGACAAAACAGAAAAAAAACAAAACTGTTGCAGAAATGTATCGGATTTGTCGCGAAACATGAATGTCTTAGTCTTATCGTTGTTTTGTCTGCTTGGTCTGAACCCGGCATCCGGCACAACAATCTGCCCTGCCTTCAATACCAAAAAATCAAAAAAGGATTCAGGAAGACTCAATGTCCGAATTGCCCGGACCATCTTCGACTTCGTGGAGAAAAGAATATGCTGTAGAATAATCCGAATACGAAGTACATTTAGCCTCTCTAGCCACAATTCTGAGATAATATTATAAATCCTGTTGTTTTTTTTAATGTTACCTACTCTTAATTTTCATGGTTATTTATATACAACTACAAACTACATAATACATCGGTAAATAACAACAAAATATGAGCAGGTAGGTGGAGTAAACCTTAAGTACTCAACAGTTCCAGCCCTCTGTGGTACCTATTTTTTTAAGCCTACTAGGTACCAGATTCAACAAATGATTATCAAAATTGTTTTTATTGAATGGGGTTTGGGTTGGGTGGGCCACTTCACTATTTGCCCGGTGGGCCAAATGACCCCCAGTCCGACACTGCCCTCATCATCAAGCACCAACTTCACTGGACTGGTCACCTCTTCCGCATGCCTTAAGCACGTCTTCCACGACAGATTCTTTAGAGTCAACTGAATGGGAATTAAGAAACGAAATCAAGGAGGTCAACAAAAACGCTACAAAGATGTTCTAAAGGAAAATATGGCGAAATGCTGTATCAATACCAGCAACTGGGAGACTGGTAACTGATAGGCCCTTATGGCGTCGAGTAATCCACGACGGATCACAAACTTTTGAAAAACAGCGACGCAGACACGAGACTGAAAAGAGGGAGCGCAGGAAGGAGCGAGAGAACAGAGAAAGAGACAATGCTGCCAGAGACTGGATCTGCCAACACGAACTCGGCTCAGAAGCGGGCTAATTTATTGAGTGGGTCGACGCCGACTATTCCGCTGAAGCGGCTACTTGGTTTCCTTTATGTTCGTACCTCAATTCAATCGCGGCTTAAGCAGAAATTCTGCTTCCAACGTATATGTAGCCTTAGGTATTATTGACATTCCTGGTCTGACAACGAAACAAAAATTTGACTATTTATCTTAGTTACTTTCAAATAATTTTTCTTAATGAATTTTTTTTTGTAAATCAAATTTTGTCTCGCCTTTAATTATTGGTAAGTCTTTCTGCTTAATTGCAAAAAAAAAACTATATAAAAGCTAATCTTCAATATACATCCTTGGATCAGAGTCGTCGTAGAAGACAGAAAAATTGGTAAATCATGGATCAAAGCCAGAAGGACACCGTTAAAGAACCAAAACTTCTGAAAGCAGTGCTTGAAGCCATTTCTTGTATGAAAGAAAAAAATGGATCCACAGATAGGCAAATTATTAAACATGTAAGGATCATATGTCATCATTCTAGGTATAATGATACTCCTCTTTAAAATATGACGTGAATAGTAGAATTTGTTTGGCATCATCTTAGGGCATCATGCGAGAAGCGTATGGCTCCAGTGTGAATCATTACTTTTCCTAAAGTGTCGAGAAAACGTTCTCGACGGCAAAAAAATTAAGTAATTGGAAAATAAAAATATAATATAACCTACTTATCTGTCAATAGACTAAAAAATGGTAAATCTCGAACATGAAACCTTTTCTCTGGAATCATGATAATATTAACTTTAATTCTTATTTTTCCGATTTCTATCACCAATCAATGTTTCCATCAGATGAGCAACGAATCAACTTGTGCAACACTGATCGCTATAGCGTTTTGATACTCATGCAGTATTCAGTATTCAAATTGAGAATAATTATAACCTACCTCGAAAATTATTTTAGATTACTGATATTCTCAAAAACAAGAGAGATAGCTGGATGAACATCACAGCAAAAGTCCGTAGAGCGTTAGACCATGGACTAAATACTGGCCTAATTAAAAGACGAAACCGTAAATATGTGCTCACTTTGGATACAGATAAGACGAATATCAAACCAAAGCAAGTCAAGAGCACCAACACATTAACTGAGACTAGAAGCCGCCGACGTCGCAAACTAGGTGGCAAGAGTCGCAGCCGGGGTGATGAAAGCGACTCCGAAACAGGTCGAAGCTTGTCTGAAGGTGAGGATGTGCAGAAATAAATAGTTCAGGCTCAATAACGATATATTATTATTACTATGAGCGCAGCCTTCGATGAACCATAGCCTTTTTTTAGACCTTCTTCAATTATTCTCTATGGAAAGATCTTCCTATCTCCTTTGTCACGGATGCTCTTTCACTTGGGTCTGCTGCGTTTTGAGATGTTATATTCATTTTTGACCATCTGCGCTCTTCCTCAGTAGATTTTCAACCTTCAACCCATCTCAGATGTCTGAGGTTTTTCATCAACAACAATCTGCTGAGCGGTACAGTGTGTTACTTCCTGGCTCTATCGCTGTCTCCAATCATCGTCTAATTTTGTTTAGTTGCCGCATATCTGATAAATGTATATCTGCTTATTCTCTAGTGCTAGTCCATTCTCATTTCAAAAAAAAAAATAAAAAAATACTGTTTTCATACGACATATTTAAACGTACTGGAATGGTGCCAATGCCAAACTTCTTTATCGACCAATAAGAATCGTTCACAATGGCTCTCTCGCTTTACTTGTGTCAGTATTTGGGCCACAAGGACTGTGACTTGAATCCCGGTTACTTACGCCCATTTGCACCGCTATAACTTAAGGGATATTTAATCCAAGTGAAGCTTTGAATGTGACTCTTGTAGAAACATAAGTCACATTCAAAGCTCCACTTAGATTTAATATTCCTTAAGTGATAGCCGTGCAAATGGCCATTACACTGATAATTAAAACTATATTTTGTTGGTGGAAATAGTGATTATCCTAACAAGTGCAGAAAGTTAAACTTTCCCGCACGCGACTGCCGTTGACCCGAACGACGCGGAGCGGAGTTTGGGTAAGCAGTCCAGGGCGGTAAAGATACTTTATGCATGTGTTAGGATCAAATTTTTTTCTACGACCTTAGGAAAGTAGGGCACAGAGAAAATATGCTGTTGTTTATTAAACATATTGTACACATTTAAATAAGTCGTCGGGGACAGGTGAAGTCACTGGAGATGAGCGTTCTAATCTCAGCTCTGGTACTTTTGCGAATGACTGCTTGACGATGGAGATTTTGCGTCAATTGTCAGAATTTGTTTATGTTAAAAGTTACTTTTCCGAACCGAGTGGCACTTTCTGAACTAAAATGAGTGCAGGAAAGTGGGCAAAATCGCACGGTCGTAGAAAAAAAAGGTTTCCTTTATAAAACTATTTTTATTATTATCGAGAAGGTAACTTTTTTAGGTCTGTGAGGTAACTTTGATGTTTTCAGAGTCAAGATGGAAATCTGAAAAACTACCTTCAATATTCATTCCTTCAAGGAAGGCAGCCAAACAGGATGCTTCTAAAATTATCTACTGAAAGTATATGACAGATTTTATATCAAAGCAATTTTTGATGGTATAGTGGCCATTTCCACCAAACTATAACTAAGCTTTGATTAACTATGAAGCCCTTAAAAGTTAAGGGACACTAAAATATAATTTCGTTCCACCAGAGTTTTCGAGTGCAAGCTTAGCTAAGTATCGTAAAGCTTTGGCAACATTGCATTTTTAGAAAAAAATTGGGTACTTTTCGTTTTTACGCTAGTCGTGTCAATGTTATCTGTTATTCGACATTTCCCGATAATTTTTATAAGATTAAAGATTATAATAAATATCACTAATAGTTGTTGCTGTTATGCGGATTCGGCTTATTTCATAGAGAAGAGGTTTAGATATTCGTAGTTTATCTTGCATTCTGCATTATATGTGAACGAACACGAAGGTGCCTAAAGCAGCATGGAGTCGGCGAATTAGAAAGAAACATTCAAAGTTTATTTTAAAAAAGCCGGACACAAAACTACACAAGGAAAAAGAGCTGCTAATATCCCTAACATGAAGAAGTAAAAACAACCGATAATAAAAAAACAGACGGAGTATGTGTGACCGAAAAAAAAATAGGGTTTGGGAGAAAATTGGCTTGAAATTTCATTCTGCGGCTGCTAATTTATGTTATGGCACAATCTGAACGTTGTTAGCGCTTGCGCACATCTCTACTTAACTATAAGTGTCCCTTAAGCTGAGAATTTTGATGGTTCAGTTCAGTGATCCTATTCCTATTAAAAGTGTCCGAATTGGCCCACCCTGTACAATAAATGTTTAATAAGAAAAAAAGCATATTTTCTTTGTGCCCCACTTTGCTAAGGTCTTAGAAAAAAATTTGATCCTAACTCATGCATAAAGTACCTTTCCCGCCCTTGACTGCTTGCCCGAACTCCGCTCCGTGTCGTTTAGGACAACGGCAGACGGCAGTCGCGTGCGGAAAGTATACCTTCCTGCACTCGTTAGGAAAATAACTATTTTAAGGCTTTATACAATTTTGTCATGAAAGAGTAGCGTATCTTTCATCAAATTATTTGGTTAATCATTTATTTATCAATTAACTCACGTTATTATTCCATGGTCAAGTTATTTTAATTGTTAAAAATGCTGTACTTGTTTCCACACCACACATGGGGTAAAGTACACGGCACGTTTTTTTACGTTGGTTTCCCTGTAGGACTAATCCATTTTGTAAAAAAAATTACGTTTTGTATCTGCAAAATCCCGACGGACATGGTTCGTTAATGTCGAGGTTTTCGCCGGTGAATATGTTCGTCTCTACTTCGAGATCAATGTCGGTTTCATTAATAGACCGATCTCCTATTACCTGGACTGCGCGCGTCGCTTGTAGGCTGCAGGTGAGCGTCCAATAAGAAGCAAGTTGGTGACAGGCTTGCGTCATATTCTTATTCAGGGGCCAGTTCAGAATGAATCATTCCTTCTTTCTTTGTAACATGTAATTTGACAAAGAGCAAACTAATACTTTATATATTACTTGAACTCACCGCAGTTTCGTTTAAGGTTATGTTAGTTTATACTTGACATATTCCTTTGCAATTTCATTGAGCGATGTTGCCGGATGAAACATTTATCGAAATAAAAGTGCAAACGATGTTCATCCACTTTAAAGCTCTTCTTTTGTCTGATTTAAGGCATTGTAAAACACTTGACACTATATCACTTCTTTAATGTTATAATGTTCGATTTGTATTGTCTACATTTGTTCTGCATGCAACAATGCAATCTGACTACACTGCAGCCTACGAGTTGCGCGCGCATGTCATCTTTTATTGCTTTTTAACTTCTATTTATTACAATTAAGCTCTCTTTTTCTATTCATGCGAAATAGGTCTATTAATTCGTCGAATTCTCCTTCTTCAGTCGACAAACAAATATCGATCGGCAAGTCCAAGTAATCTTCATAAGATTCGTCCAGCGTCACTTGAGTAACATTTTCGCAGGTCTTTCCGTAGCAGACACCGCAAATCATAGATCATTTTAATCCTGCTTTTCTGCATCCGCAGGTTTTACCACAATTGGTCTTGCACTTAAATTACAGAAATGGGAGTAATGCTTTGGGTGCAAGGAACCTTCTAAGTGGTAACTGGGGTGATACCAAATTGGGTTTTTTTTCAACCCCATTATTCAGGTTCTTTTAAACAGTCATACCATTGTTATACTTGATGGTAGATACCTAAGGAATGTTGTGCAGCGGCGCTTGTCGGTGGTAAGCATGCTAAATTAAATTTCTTCTTGCACTTTATGGATCCAAAGACAAAGAGTATATTGATCTTGATAAATATCGAAACGAGTGTTTAAGGAAGTCTTCAACAAGCGCAGCTGCACGACAGCATTCCTTACGTAGGTACCTACCATCAAGTACAATAATGGTATGACTGTTCAAAAGAAGCGGAAGAATGGGGTTGGAAGAAACCCCAATTTGGTATCACCCCAGTTACCACTTTGAAGGTTCCTACAGCCAAGACATTACTTGCATTTTTATCATGTGAGATGATAGAAAGACCAATTGTGGTAGAACCTGCGGATGCAGAGAACCATGGTTTATTTTAATAATTTTATATATTTTTTACTCCTATATAAGTTCTTCAGTCGTTTTTCTAGGTACTCATCTAGAACCTACAGATAAAGGTCGTCGCAGGAAGGGTAGTAAATGGGCCCAACGAGCATCTACAGCCAACAAATCCAATGAGAACATGACCGGTACAACAGGACAAAGTCGCTTAGAAGAAAAAATTGGTATGCCTTATAGAAATGCCCATTATAAACATTTTATGGAAAAATTAATTTCCAGAAATTCTGCCAATCGCTGGCTGTAGCAGTTCCCAGCAAAGCCATCAAATTTCTAATCTTATTCAAGAACATACCACAGTTAACCGTGGAAATCCCATTTGTAACCAAGCACCATCAGAATCAAAAAATGTTCCTCCTAAGGACGTGCCAAAACAAAATGATTGCAACGATTCCTGTTTGAACTAATTTTCATAATTTATTAATATTTTTAATGATAGCGCCCACTGGAAATTTATTGTAAACGACATATAGGTTCAAAATATCAATATTTTGGAAACATATTAGAATGTTATTCCATTTATTTTACGATAGACCAACGGATTTTATACCCTTCTTTAGCCTGTTTTTACAAGTTCCTTTTTTTTGCTACTAGTCCGGCCTGGTTTGTATTCCCGTGTGCTTTTTCGGTATGCAAGCAAGCGGTTTTTTTTAACGGAATTCTAATGCCCTAAGGTATAACTGTTTTCAGTCGGAACGCTATAAAATTTGTCGGTGCCGCGCAGTTGACATAATAGTTATTTACATTACAAGTGCGTTTATGAACATGATTACAGTAACGAGTGTGAAAGATTAGAACGACGAGGTCGTAGACCGAGTCGTTTTAATCACACAAGTTTTGTAGTCATGTTTAAACGCACGTGTGAAGTACAACGTTTTATGGCTCAGTTAAGCTGGCCCCCCAGTTTAATTTTTTTGCTCAAAAAGCTAGCGCAGATAGAGGATATCTAGCGCAGGCTAGCGCACCATTTTTAAAAGCTAGCGCACCAACCCCCGCGGAAATAGCAGAGGATGCGATCGGGGGGGGGGCAGATTAACGCTAGCCCCCCCCAGTTAATATTTTTGTCTCAAAATGCTAGCGCAGAATAAGGACACCTAGCGCATCACTTTTAAAAGCTAGCGTACCAACCCCCGCGAAAATAGCAGGGGTTGCGATCGTTAGGGGAGAGGAGGCAGATTAACGCTAGCCCCCCCCACAACCACACCGTGACAACAAAACAAGCTTGACAGTTTCCACATTTCACTTTAAAAAAATTTCTCTCCGAGGTGGAACTTTTGGAGTGACCTCCATGTACTTCACTTCGAATAGTCGAACGCTAATGGAGTCACCCCTAATACGCCAAAAAGCAATACCCGATCGGCTGGAGTGCGAATGGAGTCACTCGGAGGGCACGGAGTGAGCAAGCCGAACCCACCTAATATTGAAACTATTGACAATAAGGGTCCGTTACACTAGCCCCCCCGGTTTCCCAATAAGCTCAATATTTTAGCACCCTATTGCACCCACCTAGCACCCAACTTACAGAGCTAGCACCACACCCTCCAGCGAGTTATAGAACATTTTCACCGGGGGGGGCTAATGTAACGCGAGCCCCCCCCCCCGGTTTCCAATAGGTCCAATTTTTTAGCACCCTATTGCACCCAGCTAGCACCACCTAGCACCCAACTTACAGAGCTAGCACCACACCCCCTAGCGAGTTATAGAATATTTTCACCAGGGGGGGGGGCTAATGTAACGCGACCCCCCCCCCCGGTTTTCCAACAGGTCCAATTTTTCAGCGCTCTATTGCACCCACCTAGCACTACCTAGCATCCAACTTACAGAGCTAGCACCACACTCCCCTGCGAGTTATAAAAAAATTTCACCGGGGTGGGGGGTTAATTCAACGTGAGCTCTTGTCGTTTTTCCAATGGGTACAATTTTTTAGCAAGACCTAATGTAACGCGAGCCCTTCCCCCCTCTATTTTCATATTTCTGTTTAAACTATTGGCACTGTCCACCATCCCAACAAACACAATTACATACCAAAGACGTACATAAGGTGTAACGTTATGACATAATGTACGTTCGTAAGACGTCGATTTTAGAGCCAAGTACGTCTTGAAGACGTAATGGGCAAGTCGTATGTCACCTCCATAATACGTCTTAAAGACGTACAACTTAGAGCCATAAAGAACGTCCATAATACTTCCAGTGGCGTAGCCAGCCTCACGGAGCGGGGGGGGCAAAGATATATGGGGGCGCCTCGAATTTTTTTTCTTTTCGGTGGGGCGGATAATAAATTGTTTGTTTGCTTTTGTAAAATTTGCTTATTGGGGGAAAATAATATGAGACGAAAAGCCGGACGCAGGTGCCGCCGGAGGCGAAAAAATTTCCCGGATGTCACGCTTAAAAAAGTTTGTTTTAAGCCTTCAAAAACAATTTTTTTTCGGGTGCGAAACACATTTATTTTAAGCCTTAAAGAAAATAATGTGTGGACATGCCGTTAGACACGGATTACTTCAAAAAATCATCCCGGACGGCTTCAGACGCCTTCAGAACTAGAACAAATCCGGGGAAATCCGGAAGAATGACAGCCCCACTCAATCCATTAACCAAAACCTCTAGTTTAATCAACAAATAAATATATTGAAATTCATAATAATTGTTTTTCAGAAAAAAAAAAAATGTAGGTAATAGAACAGATCAGAAACTGAAATGAAAATAAATAAATATCAGGCATTTGCCGACAATAACGACTTACGAACAAGAATAAAGGGTGAAGACTATGAAGAGGTTAACAAAATAAATAAGAAAGAATGTAATTTTATAATTTCTTAATTTTTGCTTTTGCTTTTTAAGAGCGGTAGGACCGCCGCACATACAGGGGCGGGGGGGGGGCCGTCGCCCCCCCTGCCCCCCTACTGGCTACGCCACTGAATACTTCTTGAAGACCTAATTATTACATATTGCAAACCAAATAAAAGAATTTTTTTTTACTCAAATCGTTTATTATTTATTCGCTATTAGCTTACTAAACCTGAAATAACAACAAAAGAAAAACATTAATTCAAAAGTATTGCAACTATACCTACATAAATAAAGCATAATCTAAAAGAACTGCAACAACATTCTGTTAAGGGGGTCCGTTAAGCTGGCCCCCCCCGCATCGATTTTTTTTTTCAAAACGCTAGCACACGATCGTTAGAGCTAGCACAAGCTGTTGTAGAGCTAGCACAGTCATAGTAACAATAATATATCCTAGTTAGTGCGGGGGGGGCCAGGTTAACGCTAGCCCCCCCCCGCATTGTTTCAAGGCGCCATAAAGCTAGCACAGCTTCTTTGAAGCTAACACAGGCTAGCACAATAAAAAAAAATGCTAGCACAACTATTCGTTTTAAAATAATAAGGCACAAATGCGGGGGGCATATTCATTTTCTGCCAACGTAATAAGACCTTCGGCTGCATTCGTGTTCGTTCGAGCACAGCGTAGGCAAATTATGATTCAAGTGGACTAACGTTGGCAGTTTATAGAGCCTGCCTGGCGTTATACTCTAAATAAATTCAGTTGAAAATTGGCAGTTATTGTTAATTGTTGGCACATGGTTCAATGCGAAATGCGATAACGAGTGAAGAAATACCTTTATTCAGAGTTTAGAAATTAATCATTGTGTCTATTCAAAAGCCCCAGAACTTTTTTGGTAGATTTGAAATAGTTTCGGTTAGTTTGCGTTAGTATGGGTTATTTTTGGTTAGTTTGGGTTAGTTCGTATATGTAGAACAAAAAAAAAAGATCTTTTCCTACAACCACTTACGAAAATGACAAAATAGCTGGTTTTTTGGGAAGCGCGAAATATCACACGTGCTGAAAGTACTTTCAATACGCTTGCTAAAAGTACTTTCAGCACACGTGTGGAAAATACTGCTGACAGTATTTGTGATTGATATCACAATTTACTTTCAATACGTGCATTGAAAGTACTTTCAGCACGCGTGTTGAACATGAAAAGAAATAAAAATGATAAAATTGATGTAAATCGGATTCTGGTCGTAGGAAAACTGGTGTACATCACTTGTAAGAAAACGTCTTTCATATACTCATGTGATTTTCGCAACTCGGCTACCGCCTCGCGCGAAAAAATACTCGTGTGGAATTTGTCACTTTCTACACTCGTAATGTAATATGATATTTGTATTTTGGACTTTTCATATTTTCGACATTCAGCATTTTCGACATTTTTTAATTTCTACCTTTTTTATCTTATTATTCCAATTTTTTTTTAGCTCACACTTCATAAAATAGTTACTTAAAAGGTCCATCGGGTAGTTCCAAAGACATCAGTAGTTCTATCTAACACAATAATTATGCCAGCCATTGCTTTCGCTGAAATTTTCAATAGTAATATAACTAGTGCAATGGAAATTATTGATTATTTTTGGGAAATTTGCTCGAATGCATTTTTAGTTGAAAAAGAGCACGAGTGCACGTAGTGCACGAGTTGTATTTAATGAGAGAATTTCATAAATCAAAAATTTAAATTTTTTGTCAAAAAATGTCAAAACACCAGTTTTCGCACCAGTTAGTATGCAATGGGGATATTCACCATATTTGAATTTCATTACTTTATTATTTTTAATCAGTTGTATTAACCAAAATAAAAATACCCTTGCTTCCAGTTGAGTTTAAAATGTCCTAATTTTGTTTAAAATAATTTTCAAAAATGCTGTTTTCATCCCACATATTTAAACGTGCTGGAATGGCGCCATTGTATGACGTATATACACTTTCCGACCAATAAGAATCGTTCACAATAGCTCTGGCGCACATCTTATATGCTTTCCTTGTCTAAGCTCTGAAGAGTGATAATGATGAAACTCCTCATTTGTTATTTGCATCTTGTTCGTTTAACGCTGGTCAACATAACCTCTTGACAGTTAGACAGTGCAACCTTACCAAACTGAGTGTCGTGATTCCTACCATGACGTGGCATAAATCCTTTTTTCTACTGACGTTTCATAATAGCAACTTTTCGATTGTCAATTCAGTTTTGAAACGACATTCTTTTAGGCACTGAGTGCGTGAAAGTTACTTTTAAGCACTCAGTGCGTAAAAGTGACTTTTGAATGCGTAAAAGTGACTTATGAGTGCGTAAAAGTAATTTTTAAGCACTAGTTCCTAAAAGTGTCATTCATTATTCAGAAATAAAAAACACACTAAACCCAGATAACACCCAACATCCGATGGATATCCATTTTAGGTACAAAATATGTACAGATGTCCAGGGACATTAAATGGACATCCAATGGACTATATTTTTTGGACAATAACTGATAACAGCCAGAAACGGATATCCAATGGAAATCCATTAAGTGTCCACAAATGTTTCTAAAAATCGTGGTCATAAACTGGACATCTAATGGACTATATTTTCTGGACAAAAACTGAACCACAAGAAACGGATATCCTCTGGAAATCCATTTATCGTCCACAAATGTATATAAAAATCATGGTCACAAACTGGA